TCATGCAGACTAGTTCTGTGTCAGAGGAGAGGGGGAAATGACTTTTGGGTGGAAAACAGTCATTTCATTCTCTTACATTTGAGACCGTTCTGTTTTTTCCACAGGCCTAAAACCTAGAAATGTGTTTAGATCAAATTAAAAAAACATTTCTGCTAAGAAGAAGAGAGAACTCCTGTGAGCCCTCCAGCTGGTGGAGCTGAGGCTCTCAGCAGCGCGTCGTCTTCTGAAACAGAATCATCATGTTTGCGTTTGAATTAATGAAGAGGATCTAACCGTGGACCTGGACTCTCTGTGTGTCTGATCCTCCAGCTCCTACCATGACCAGATGTGTGGTCTCTGTGGCGACTATGATGGAAATCCTAACGATGACTTCACCAAACCGGATGGAACCCTAGCTGGAAATGTGAATGACTTTGGAAATAGCTGGCAGACGGAAGAAGATGAGGATGACTCGTAAGTTCTTCAAAGTCTTCTTTAGGTCTGGTGTCGGAAGCCAGGGGAGATGTTTTCTGACTCACACGATGTAAATCAGATATCTGTAACTCACCTGCAGAGCTGTGAGGATCTGTTCCTGTTTTCACTCAGATCCACCCGTTTCATGCAGGTGCACCCAAGGAACTAAACCCGACCCAGACTGTGACCCGAGCCTTGAGGCGGAGGTGGTGAAACCAGAAAAATGTGGAAAAATCAAAGACCCTGTTGGACCCTTCAGGTGAGAGAAGTTTTGTTTGGAACCGCATCAGAACTGGGGTTTGTTTTGGACTCAGGAAACTAAACCAGACAAGAACTCCTGGTTCTTCTCAGCATGCTGCTGGGTCTCCTTTAGAGTCCGATGTTTATGCGAGTGTTTCAGACAAATGAAATGTAATGTTTCTGTGGACACACACCTCTTCGGAGCCGAGCTCTAACTTTATTAATCGTTAAATTTGACTTGTTTTTTTGCCAGAGAATGCATCAAAATGGTCGATCCCACTCCGTTCTTTCAAAGCTGTGTTTACGACATGTGTCGGTTCGGCGGGCAGCAGCATGTTCTCTGTGACCAGCTACAAGCCTACACTGATGCCTGTCAGAGCGCTGGAGCCAAGGTCCACCCGTGGAGAACTCCAGACTTCTGCCGTAAGTTCTCAGACCGGTGGTGTCCATCACGTTCCAGCTCTAGAACACAGGTTCAGTTCTGAACAAAGACCATTCTCAGGTTTAAAACACAGCCTCCTGTTCTCAGTGGGGAGAGCCAAGGCCAAAGATTCCTGCCTTGCTTTAAATCTGACATTTATGGGAGATATAATGAAATTAAATGTTTATTATTCTCTTTTTATTCCCCCTACCTTCCTCTGTCCCGCCATCTGTCGTCCCTTTCCTCCTGTCTCCAGCTCTGGTCTGTCCTCCTAACAGCTCCTACTCACTATGCGTGAGCGGGTGTCCTGAGACCTGTCTGGGTGTGGTTGGACCTCCCGGCTGTCAGGACGTGTGTGTGGAGGGTTGTCAGTGTGATCCAGGCTTCATCCTCAGTAATGACAGATGTGTGGCCCTGAAGGACTGTGGCTGTGTGGATGTCAGTGGGACTTACCACCCCGTGAGTGCCTGTCCATGGTTGTCCTGTTGTGTTCTGTAGAATCAGAACTGTGCTCACTGCCTTTATAAAAGCTGTGTGTGAAAGCCTCTGCTGCATGTCCCCCTCTTATTGTCACAAAAGAACCGCATCAACTCCATTTGGCTTTAGGCTTTGATTCAACCGCTAGAAAATGACTTCAGCTTGATGCCTTTCAGGGTCAGCCACCAAAATGCTCAACTGATCTCATTTCATTTATCTATAAAGCCCCTTCTGCGACCAAAGCAGACGCCCAAGGTGCTGAACACAACACAATAATAACATAAAACCATCAGAATAAAATATAACAATCGTAAAACCAGCATGAAATCAATTAAAAGAGGACAGTAAAAGCAAAAAATAAAATCCAGAAAAAGATTAAGAGGCCGGGGCATCGAAACTGGGTAAAATTTGCTAATCCTCAAATGCCTTGACAAAAAAATGGGTCTTAAGGCGAGTCTTAAAAAACCCCATGAGGGTGACTGACGCACCACCAAAGGCAACTGGTTCCAAAGTGCAGGTGCCAACACCGAGAATGCACGGTCCCCCCGTGACCTGCACTTAGTGCGTGGAACGATCAACAGCTCCCTGCCGGCTGAGTGAAGGGCCCGCGAGGGGGCGTGCCTGTGCAAAAGGTTGCCAAGATATGCTGGAGCAGTTCCTTGTAAGGCCTTGTATGCCAGCACCAAGACCTTGAATTTTGCCCTGTATTACACAGGCAGCCAATGAAGGGATGCCAACACAGGGGTTGATATGTTCCCTGCGCCTAGTGCCGGTCACGAACCTAGCGGCTGAGTTTTGTACTAACTGCAAGCGTGCTACCGCACCCTGACTAAGGCCGGCATACAGTGCATTGCAGTAGTCGAGCCTTGAAAGAACAAAAGCATGTGTGACCGTCTCTAGATGTACTCTGGACAGCAGGGGCTTCATTCTGTCTAGTCGGCATAAGTTAAAAAAACACGACAGCACAACCTGGTTGATTTGCGCGTCGAATTTAAGGGCTGAGTCCAGTTGCACTCCCAAATTTCGGATGGTGGTCTTCATGTTGGATGCTAAAGGGCCCAGATTCACAGCATCGCATGGGTGTGTTGACATGCCAGGGCTAAGTACAATTACTTCAGTCTTAGCATCATTCAGATGTAAAAAGTTTGTAGCCATCCAGGAGCGCACATCCTCTAAGGTATCTACAAGCTTTGATATTGACCTATCGACACCCCGCTGAAGGGGGAGGTAGATCTGACAGTCGTCAGCATAAAAATGAAAATGCATGCTAAACCGCTGAAGAAGATTCCCCAACGGTAGTAAGTAGATGGCAAAAAGAAGCGGACCCAATACAGACCCCTGTGGCACACCCCACTTGAACCGAACTCAACATCTGTCCCACTCAGAGGACACCGGAGACCAGCTGCCCTTTTTTATGTCAGGTTGCTGCTCTTCAGTATACTATTCTTCATCATCCTATGGTTCCTAACCCTAACTGCACCTGTGTGCAGAACGTGGTCTGAGTGTGCTCATGAAGATGTTGTGCTTAGATTAGCCAGTCTGTGACACAATAAAGGTCTTTACCTGCATCAAATTATGTTATTGTGGACAGAAACTCCTGGTTCTTTATTCTGACTGTGTTCTGAACTTCAGGTGGGGGACAACTGGTACTTAGAAGGCTGTGAGCAGAAGTGCGAGTGTCACGGAGGAGGTCTGATCCACTGCCACAACACCAGCTGTAAACCTACCACAGAGATCTGCCAGCTGCATGACGGGCAGTATGAGTGCCGCCCTGTGGGTACGTTACACACAGATACAGTCTAACCCACAGCAGCCTGCAGGACATCCTGGTTTGGGTGGTTCGGGACTGTGTACAAGAATACTAGACCAGTGCTAGAGTTCTAAACCAATACTAGAACCATGTCTAACAAACCACGGTCTTGAGTTGGTGCATTTCATTAGTGAACGTGAACTCTTGACCAATAGTCAAAGTAAATTTTTGCAGTTGCATCAAACATAAAAACTTTTGGCCTGATCACCTTCCACAAAAGCCAGAGTCGTCTAACACTGCCGCCACTGAAAGCCAGGAAACAAATCATGTCGAAGTTAAGCTTGGTTTATGCTTGACGCGTCCGCGAGGTTCGCACGGCTCAGCACGGCGAAATTGCGTAATTTTAACAACCACGCCCCTCCACCGCGCCTCCGCACGGCCCAAACTTTCCGCACCACGCACCTAGAAGATTTTCTAACCACGCGGACGGTCGGACGCAGAAAAACATGGCGTACTGGCGAGAACAAGTATGGCAGAGGTTCGTAAATACAGACATTTGTATGATTCAGCGCTCAGAGATCACCGTGATCAACATGTTGTTAATAATTCTTGGTGAGAAATAGCTCGCACTGTCGGAGAAGACGAAGACGCTGTTAAAAATGCTGGAATGCCATGTTGTACACAACAGTAATTTCTACTTCTACTATGGTGTAGTGTTGGATGCATGCCGTAGAGCTCCATGCTGCCCCCTACAGTTTGGAAGAATATTGGCTCACCGCAGAGACAAGCCGCATGAACCATAAACGCTGCGAGTTGTGAAGCGCGTTCCATCCGCGAGCCGCATCACCAAGCGGAAAGTGAATGCGTCGAGCATAAACCAAGCTTTAGAGTCCCACTAGTTGTCACACAGGTGTGTGAAATGTGTTCTCTGCATGTGACCCATCCCCCGGCGGAGCGGTGAGCTGCAGACACGGCTGTGCTCGGGAACCATTTGTTGTTTTAACCTCAATAGAAGTTAGAAAACCAGCAGGGGTTCCCCGGCTGCATTTATAATCGCCTGTGTGAAAACCATGCTGATAAGAAAGACCAACGCTGACCTCTGCTCCCATTCTTCTTTCTGGAAGTTCCCGGTAAACCAGTCCAACGACTGAACAGAAGTACAGTAAGTAGTAGTTGTAGTAGAAGAAGAAGATTTTGCCCCTTTTATGATAAAAATCACAAACACAATTAAAACACAGTAACATGTCTGCCTCTCTGTGGTGAAAGTCAAGCACAGAAAGCCCTTCTGTCTCTAGAACCCTTGGTTTAAAGGCATCGCTCACCTTTACCTACTCGGGTGGCTTCTGTGTGATGGTCCTGGTTCTCCAGTATGAACAAGGCCACCTCTAACTGCGACCAGAAAACATCAAAAGTTTCATGAAGTTCAGACTTTAGCTAAATCCATTCTTCTCCTCAGGTTCTGGGATCTGCTCCGTCTCTGGTGATCCTCACTACACCACCTTTGATAAACACACCCACCATTACATGGGAGCCTGCTCCTACACACTGACCAAACCCTGCAATTCCTCCTCTGAGCTTCCGTACTTCACGGTGGACACTCAGAACGAGCACCGAGGGAGCAACAGAAAAATTTCCTACGTCCGAGCCGTGGTGATCCATGTGAACGGTGTGAGCGTTATCCTTGGGAAGGGGCGCACGGTTCAGGTATTCTACCTCTTCATCTTCTCCCGTGAACTTTAGGACCAGTCGTTTCTGCGAATCTTTCTTAAACGTTCTAAACAGCGCCTGGTGTTAAGAGGCTGTGTTCATGATGCTTCTAACTTGGTTCTGTTCCTCAGGTTAATGGAAAAGTGGTGGTACCACCTGTCACCTCCATCGGTGGACTCAAGATCTACATGAGTGGAAAGTTTATAGTTCTGGAGACGACGTTTGGTCTGAGGGTCCGGTTTGATGGGAACCACCATGCAGATGTCACGGTTCCTACCACCTACAGCGGCCTGCTCTGTGGCATGTGTGGTAAGAATCACCTGTACTCACTCACCACATGGTGTCTGCTACAGCCCTCCATGAAGGGGTCAGAGAACATGCAGGTCACCACGGTCTAATCCTACCGATGTAGTGTGTAAACAACGTTCAGTGAACGAAAACCAGATTCAAACACCACAACAGAAAAAGATTTGAAACAAAGCCCGTTGTTCTATTATTCTACGTGGACTCTGAACTTGAGAACTTATAGCTTTAGTGACGTGTCTGTCGGTTTAGCAGCCGCTTTTATTATTTCAGTTTTCTGATTAATTAAATTTAGTCTAAACATCCGATTCTGTTCTACGTCTCATCGCCTCTGTCCTTGGTAGGAAATTTCAATGGAAACTTCAAAGATGACAACCTGAAACCGGATAATACAGCAGCTTCAAACAGCAATGAGCTGGGAGACAGCTGGGAGGTGCCTGATCCGAGACCCGAGTGAGTCCCGTCAGAACACAACTGAAACATCCGTACGACGGGTGCACGTGTACAGGAAGGGCTCAAAAAAGTTCTGTCAAATATTACACATTAATCAGTTAAGTGTGTTTCTCTCCTAGGTCTTCAGGTGACTCAGACAGACTGAATTACCTGAATAATGTCGTAGCGATCTGACTAATGTGTCCATTTATGATGCTCTAGCTAACTCTGGTGGATGCTTCCCTTCATCTACAGTTGTACTAATGGTGGAGGGCAGGAGGACTGTGATAAGCAGGTGGAGGAGGAAGCCAAGAAGCCCACAAGTTGTGGAATCATCACTGATCCTAACGGTGCGCACATACACACACACACACACACACACACAGCTGATGCATGCAAGGACATCAGACATTTGACCTACATTTATCCGACGGCCTATGGGACGATTACAATAACCTCCACTTGTATCTTGAATCTGATTTTCAGGGATCTTTAAGGCGTGCCACTCGTTCGTCCCCCCTGAGTCCTTCTTTGGAAACTGTGTGTATGACCTGTGTGCAACAGGAGGTCAGACCGTGGCTCTGTGCCAGGCCTTAGAGAGCTATGCTGACATGTGCGCTGCTGCAGGAGTTCCCATCTCCTGGAGGAACAACACCTTCTGCCGTAAGGATGGATGGACAATAGACAGGCTGGCTGATGGATGGATGGATGGATGGATGGATGGATGGGTGGGTGGGTAGGTAGGTAGGTAGGTAGGTAGGTGATGAACTAGATGAGTTTTTATTGTCTGATTTGATCCGTGGACAAAAGCTTGTCTGAAACAAATGAGGTTGACAAGAGCGTCTGAGTTAAAGCTTGCTCTTCATGACTAGATCAAACCCAGTTTATTTGTACTTAAAATGCAGCAATGTTGCCCAAAGTGCTGAACATAGACATGTAAAAACAGAAAAACATTAGCAGTCAAGTAAAACATAATAAAGCACAAAAAAACAATACAATAAAAATCACACATGGTAAAAAGTAGGACTACCAAGTCAACTAGAAATACTAAAAGTTGTCAAGTATACGTCTTCAGTGGCTTTTAAAAATGGCAACAGGTGATGCCTTCCTAATGGAGATGGGCGAATATTCCACAAAGTAGGTGCAGCCACTGAGAAAGACCTAAAACCTCTTCTCTGTAGACTTGCCCCATGTAAGTCTAAAACCTCTGTAGACTGGTCAGAGTAAACTCCAGTCTACTTGGATGGGTGCTGGTCCAAACAACATTACAGTAATTAATATATGAATACAACAACCCTTTTATTAATCTGGAAACAGGTTTTCTATTTATTTATGGCACAGATGTGAGGTTTCTGTTATACTGATTAATCAGCTGCGACACCGAGGAGACAAGCAGATCTAGCATAATTCATGGGGAAATAATCTCTTTGGATTTTCATTCAAGATTAAAATGTGTCAGAGTTTTTACCAAAACATTTAAAACTTATTTTTATGTTAAGGGACAATTTTTAGGTGTCACGTTGAAAGCAGGAGGTTAGGACCCAAGTTGCAGGAAATCCAGAACACACAGGCAGGAGCGGTTGAAAAGTAAAAATCCTTTATTTAGGAGGAGAACCAAAAATCAAAGGGGAAAAGGCAAAAACCCAATAACTAAACTAAGACCGAAATCCAAAAGCTCACTTTCTGAGCAGAGACCTAAAGACGGAGACTGGAGACAGGAGACAGGAGACAGGAGACAGGAGACAGGAGACTGGAGACAGGAGACAGGAGACAGGAGACTGGAGACTGGAGACTGGAGACTGGAGACAAAACAACGCTGACCAAGACAATGAACCAACAACCACAGAGTGACAAGACAAGGCTTATATACACATGGAGAACAATTAAGGAAACAGGAAGCAGGTGTGTGGAGTGAGGGCTGGAGGGAAGGCAGGTGACACAAATTATCTAAATGGGGAAAACAGAACCAGTGGAGGGCAGATAAACCTAAAACATAAAACTAAACCTAAGACTGAGGGAAGGACATACACACACACACGCAAAAACACTGAGCAGGGGACAAAGAGGCTGGAGCTACAGAACGTGAAGGAAGACCTGGAGGGCTGGGGATGAATGAATGACACAGGACCTGGGAGGAATTGACTTTAAAGGGCTACAAACATAAGACACATAATTGAGATGCAGACAAAGGACACATGAGGGCGCTATGAGACACAGAAGGGAATCTAGAGAGGGATGGAGAAACATCAGGAGGCACATAAGGAAGGGGCAGACGCAGACCATGACACTGGGGTCTGAACCAAGTGGACTTTTTTCAAGTTCTTAATTCATTTAGTGGTTTGGTGGTTGTAATCCAGTAATTACACTGGGATAGGCCGTGATGTGCCATCCTAATACAACATTGACATTTTTGGGCGATGGTGACGAGCCTCTTTCATCTTTTCTCTCCTCTGTAGCACTAAAGTGCCCTCCAGGAAGTCATTATGAACCATGTGGCCCTGCTTGCCCCCAGCCCAGCTGTCAGGATCCTGCAGGCTCAGGTGGTTCCTGTAACCAACCCTGTGTGGAGGGCTGTGTCTGTCACCCCGGCCTGGTTCTCAGCGGAGACAAATGTGTTCCAGTCAGCGAGTGTGGATGCACTGATGGAGACGGACATTACCGACCGGTAGGTAACCCTAACCCTAACCCTAACCCTAACCGACCGGTAGGTGGTCACAGCAACAGTTAGCTCTTGGACTTTTAACAAGAAGTGTTGGAGTAGAACTTGTGGGTGTGTGTGCGTGCGTGCGTGCGTGCGTGTGTGTGTGTGTGTGTGTGTGTGTGTGTGTGTGTGTGTGTGTGTGTGTGTGTGTGTGTGTGTGTGTGTGTGTGTGTGTGTGTGTGTGTGTGTGTGTGTGTGCGTGCGTGTGTGTGTTTGGAGGTTGGAGACTCATGGTTTCCAGAGAACGACTGCTCAGAGCGTTGTCGGTGTCACGGTAATCACAACATCACCTGTGAACCGTGGCAGTGCAGTCCTGCACAGGAGTGCAAGGTGGTGGAGGGAGTGCTGGACTGTCACTCCACAGGTAGGGTGAAACACCTGACCTGCAGCATTTGAAGCTGGAGCAGCATCACCAGGTATTTTCCCACTCCTCAGGAAAAGGAGTGTGTCACGTAGCAGGAGACCCACATTACTACACTTTTGATGGAGTGATGCACACCTTCATGGGCACCTGCACCTACACCCTGGTGGAGGTAGGAGGCTTTTAAATTGCTACTGCAAAACAATGGAAATGTTTAATTAACAAAACTCCCCCCAGACTTCTTCACTAAGGAAAGCAAAGGTCTTTCATGTGTGTGAAGGGAGGATTCAAAGGCTGGATGTTAGTATTAAATCAGTCCTTAAATCCAAGATCAAATCACAGAATCCAAAAATGTGCATAAAGGTACAAATCATGAGGCAAAACACTGATATGGTGGAGCAAACATCTAAATCAAAAGTATCTTGGGTCTTGTTCACAAGTGTGGGAAAGGTGGCGCGTGAGACATTCCATCACTGAGGATGCCTCCAGGACGTCTCCCTGGTGAGGTTTTCTGGACACGTCCAACCGGGAGGAGACCTAAAGGAAGACCCAGGACACGCTGGTGGGACTATGTCTCCACGCTGACCAGGGAACGCCTTGGGATTCCTCCGGAAGTGTTACAAGCCAATTTACCGGGCTAGCTCTACTCTTCTAGATTTTACTAATATCTCAGGGTCTGACTTGTAATCGGCGTAGAGAGCGTGACAACGCCAGCTACCAACAAACACTCTTACTCTGTAGAGAGTTGATCAGCAATCACCACAAACCCCGAGCTTCTAATTCTGACCAAAATTAGTTCAAGCAGACAAAGAGGAAGACTTCTGATTTACTCCAACCCCCTCCGTTGCCGGCTCATTGCATGCCGTCAGTTACACACCATAATAAACTGTTCCCTCTATGCTGAAGGAACAGCTAATTCAGCCGCAGCAAAGGATGCTAATTAGCACCTGATCTCACTTCTAACCTGAGGATGGGATAAGATCAACCAGCACCTCACCTGTTGGGTGAACGGCCGGTCATGAAGGAGACCCCTAGAGACGCAGAACTCGTTTGCGTTCCTTGTAGTCGAGAAACAGATTTTATTCCAAATACAGGTGAAAAAGTGAAGATCCCGACCCAGCGGGGCACACACGATCAGAAAACTTAACAAGTTTCCAGCCACGCACTCTCCCAACCTTCTTCCCCCAACTCATTCACTGCCATTGACGACTAAAGTCGTCATTTGCATTTTTTTTACTGTTTGGGCATCGGAACGAGCCCCCGCGCTGAGAGAACAAACATCTCAGCTCTAAAGCCGATCTTCATCCGCATACGTCACACGTCATGTGATCAGGAAGCAGAAAATCCATGTGTTAAATCGTTTTGGGCCGTTCCTGTAAAAAAAAAAAAAGTGAGGTGCGAACCGGAAAAGCGTCTGCCGATTATGAAAGAACGGACAACGCTCGAAACTCGTAGGTTCTTCCTGATGTAAGAGGTGAGTCTCCTCTTTGTTTTGGTTGTTTTGGCGTCAACATCATCCTAGCGCGCAACGTTCTGTGACTCTTAAAAAACAGTAAAAGCAGTGAGAAACGCTGGCAGCGAATGAGTTAAACTCCTTCTCCCCCCTTCCTCTTCACTCTTTGGGGGGGTGCATCTCCATGGCAACACCCCCCCCTCTTGAGACTCCATTCCTGGTAGACGCTCTTCCTCTTGAGATTACCTCCCCCTCGGCAGGCTCTGCTGATTGGTTCCTTTCCGGATCCGCCCCTCTTCTTCTTCTTCTGCTCCGCTGGTGGCCTCCCCTCTGCTTCGTTCATCCTGGCCTCGGGGAGGAATCAATAAATCTACTTCTACTGCTTATTCTAGCGATCCTATCGATTTTACAAATACATGGTCTGTTTATTAGCTCATGCACCTGGACTAATAAAACACAATCCTTGCCTCCCTCCCATCTCAAGATATCAGAAATGTTACATCAAAAACCCTGAGACCGAACCAGCTCATCAAATTTACGACTTCAGGGTGAAACAGCAAAAGACACACACACACACACACACACACTTTTAATCACAGGAAAATAGATCTGGCTTCACAGAACTGAGGACTAAACCAGACCTGTTTTTATAATTAAGGCCTGAGATTATTTCCAGTTCAACAGGAAGGGAGGGACAATTTAAAGGCTGAGGAACCCTTTGCAGGTGTTTTGGATTCATTAGTCAATTAGAGTCAGGTGTGTTGAAACAGACTTAACACTGAGGCCCTGTCCACATGTAACCGGGGATCTGCCAAAACGTAGATATTTTTCTATGTTTTGGCCTGTCTTCCACACGAAAACGGATCTTTTTAAAAACTCCGGCCAAAGTGAAGATCTGCGTTTTCTCCGTTTTGGGTGTCTGCGTGTGGACAGACAAAACCGGAGTTTTAAGGTCCGCAACGTCACTTTCCGCGACAAAAAAATGCTGACATCACGTGTGCGACCTGTGTTTACACTAGCCGACAGCATGGATGCCCTCAGAGCTGCACTTGCTTTATCAGTTGTCCAAGCGCTTTCTGCTTGTTTGTTTTTGCAAGCGGAATTACTGCTCCTTGCGGAAGACCACAGACGAAGGACGAGGTTAAGAACGGGGGAAGTACTGCCGCCTACAGGTCTGGCAAGTCCTTAACAACGTATTTATCCGGGTACGTGTGACAGAGTTTTTTTTTTAAACGAGGTGGTGTGGATGCAAGTTTTTCGAGGGGCGGATATTCGTTTAAAAAAAACCCGGCTACGTGTGGACTAGGCCTAAAAGCTGTTGGATACAGGCCCTCCAGGCCTGGAATCGAACTCTCCTGCTGGAATTCATCATCGTCACCATCGTAACAAATAAAGGCTTGTGTGGAATGAGCCTTTTTATATAATAGTTTCACCTTTTAAGTTAAATTATTCAAATGAATCAACTTTTTGCACTTTTCTAATCAGAGCCGGCCCAAGGCATATGCGAGCTAAGCAATTGCTTTGGACCCCCACATCACCAGGGGGCCCCCAGGAGCACCAAGGTGACATGAGTAAAATACAATGTATTTGGATTATTTTCTGCAGTGTCATTTGGTTTTAGTTTGTAAAGCAGCACACTTTACACACGTTTCAAATTTTAAAACAAAAGATAGTAAACCAAAGTTTGTTTATTTACTGTAAATTCAGTGTTTGCTGATGTTTCTTTCAAATAGCTGAATTAATATACCACACTTAAATATCACTCTTCATTTGAAAATGCTAATTAATTAGAGCGTGGTTTGCTGCTCAGATAAAGTTTAAATTAATATCCACAATAACACCATATTGAGGTGAGCTAATTACAAAAGATGCTAATAAATGTGGGCATGTTACCCAAATGGTGCAGCTTAGGAATGATGAATCATCTTTGGGTTTAGGGGGCCCCCAAGGGAAACCTGTTTAGGGCCCCACAATGGCTTGGGCCGGCCCTGATTCTAATCTGTTGAGTTCCACCTGAAATTGAGAACTGATCAGAAATGTTCGCAAAATTGTATTAATAAAATTTTTGCTATCCTATTTGGTTTGACAGAAGGAACCTGGCGATGTTTTCTGCTGGGAAATGAATGTTTAATTTAACCTGCAATAACATGACGTCTGATCATCGTTCAGTCTGTTTATTTACATTAGGATTTTTGCGAATCCTGGCTTTGGCCTTTTTCGTACTTCAGCTGGTCTTTTTAAAGTATTTCAGCAGTAAAATTGTAAACATGTTGTTTTTGTTACTTTTTCAGGTCTGTAATACCTCCCAGGTAACTTACTTCAAGGTGGTGGCTAAAAACGAGGAGCGAGGTCAGCCAGAGGCCTCTTACGTCCGCTCGGTTAAGGTCTATTTACCTCATGACACCGAGGTGGAGCTACAAAAGGCTCGCAGAGTTCTGGTATTCAGACCTTCTCAGGTTTCTTCAGATCCTCTCAGATCTTTTCAAATTCAGATGACAGATGTTCCTATTGGCTGTTGTTTTAGTTGAATGGACGGCGAGTGCGTACCCCTCTGTCTATCGACTTGATTGGAGCCAAAGTGATAACCAGTGGATCTTACAGTCTGCTGGACACAAACTTTGGTCTGCAGGTGAAGTTTGATGGAGTCCACCACCTAGAGATCACTATTCCTGGAGAGTACTTTAACAAGGTAGAACATCTTTGCTGTTATTACATCACAAAGATCTGACATGTTGCAAGTTTTAATCTGATCCACTTGTGTCCCTCAGGTGTGTGGCATGTGTGGAAACTATAACAGCAACAGCTCTGATGATAACCTCATGCCCAACAAGAAACCAGCCAAGGACGCCATTGAACTGGGCAACAGCTGGAAGTCAGATGGAGACAGCGATCCAGGGTGGGTGACCAGGAACATCTGCACATACCAGCAAGAGATGCCACAAGTCCTGGCATTCAAGGACGAGGATTGGACCACGTGTCTGTACAATGTGTATCAATGGGTATCCTTATACTCAAATGCTGTGTTCATTATGGCCTTACTTTGACTTGCACAGAAGTCCTGTAGTAAAACTCCACTTGTGTTCAGAGCACTGAAGTCCTTGAACAGGTCTAAGGAGTTACTGATTAGAGTGCCATCTTGCACTCATCCTATTGCCTCCAAAAAGGGCAAGTACTCTGCACCACTAAGTGGTGTGTTAGCACAAACAGCACCCAGCATCCATTCCCTGACCAAAAGGCAAACTACCCCTTTGTATCCTGAGCAAACCCCCAAAAACAGCAGAGAATCTGGGGGCCACTAATGGTGCTTTCACATCTGGGCCAGTACGGACCAGGCTGGGTGGCGTTGGTCCGGGTCCCACACCCGCACACGTAGGGTTGTTCACACACACTCCTCGGGAACGGGGAAATCTCCGAGCACGTGGGCGGGGCAAAAGACAAGCGGAAAAGTCTGAGGTGTCTCCCTTAACGACGGCCGTGCAGCTCAAGGCACAGCAGCGCTGTGTGTGTGTGTGTGGTTCCTAGCGTACCGAGCCATGAAAACACAGCATCAGACTGTCGGCCACTGACTGGCAAAGGGGTAGAGTCGCTGGTTGCTCCAGAGTTTTCCCAGTACCGGAGAGGTGTGATCATTTGGCCCAAAAGCCCATTTAGATTCTGGGGTTCAGACCACCAAGTCTCCTATTAGTAATGAATGAGGCTGAGTAATCCCATTACTGCTTAATTCTTTAAAAAGCAACTCAGAAATACCGTATTTTCACGACCATATGGCGCACCTAAAAGTCTTAAATTTTCTCCAAAATGTACGCCGCGCCCTGTGGTGCGGTGCGCCTATTGTGTTGTTGTGAGACGCGAACGTAGTAGAAGACAAGGGGCGTGGCGTGAACGTGTGGACGTGAGCGAAGACAGACCCCGAATAGTTCAAAAGGGCAGGTACGCGCGGTATGCTGAACATTGTTCTGACAACCCTGAGAATGGCACCTGCTTAGAGCGCACGCAATGAGGAAGTGCACGTGCGCTCTAAACCAGGTCTGAACCAGGACTAGACCAGTAAAGTGAAGCATGCTTTTGGCTGTTTATAATTCTCACAATGTCTGGTTTGCACTGATATGTTCCCAGTCCTGAGCCGGCACAGATGTTTTACCGGTACGTTTTACCGCGCCCTATAACCCGGTGCACCTTTTGTATGTGTTAAATACCAAAAAGACGCCCGTAACTGAAGCTGCACCCTATAACACGGTGCGCCCTATGGTCGTGAAAATACGGTAGTGTGTTTTTTCTAGATGACACTTTGTCACCAGCACAGAGTATACAACAGACCCTAACACTGTCATCTTCAGCGGTGATGTTGCTGTTTGACAGCTAAATACGACTAAATGTAGCTGGCTCATGGACGTAATTTTTGGGGGGTACAGGGGGGACATGTCCCCCCCACTTTTTCCAAAGTCAAGTTTTGACCCCTGCACTTTTTACCATCCAAAAACGATATTACGCTATGTTAAATTGACACTGGTTGAGCTCTAGGACCAAGCAGAAAACAACCGTTTGTGTTGAAGCCTGTTTCCCATTAGAGCATACTGTAAAGACCCCCCCCCCCCCCCCCCCACTTCTAAAGTTAAAATTGCGTCCATGAGCTGGCTTTTTTTATTGGATAAGCTCACAAACGTCATGGCACGCTCAAAGGCAGCCTCAGTAACAAGAGACTAAATCGCTGAAACATCTCTCCTGCAGCTGCAAGCCGGACACGCGTCCAGATGTCCACCCGAACTGCACCACGGAGGAAGAAGTGTCGTATGAGCTTCAGTGTGCCAATGTCATTTTCTCAGACCGCTTCAAGCCCTGCCACTCTCTGGTGCCCCCCAGTGCCTTCCTTGGTAACTGCATCTATGACATGTGTGAGTACGACGGTATGCAGGCAACACTCTGTGACAATGTGGAGGCCTACGCCCAGGCCTGCCAGAGTGCTGGAGCCACCATCAGCTGGAGGAACAACACCTTCTGCCGTAAGTTCCTCTCACACAAAAACCTTCAGCCCACCCAGATGTTGGTGTTGTAACATGTTGTTTCCCACAGCTCTGCCCTGCCCTCCCAACAGCCACTACTCTGACTGCACTGCCCCCTGCCCCCCCACCTGCTCTGATCTCTTCCCAATGTTCTGCCATCTTCCTCCAACCACCTGTGTAGAGGGATGCCAGTGTAACGCTGGCTTTGTTCTCAGTGACAGCAAATGTGTTCCTCTGGATAAATGTGGCTGTCTGGACTCAGAGGGAGAATACCACGACGTAAGTTCAGCTGAATAAATGACAAAATAATGGCAAGCCAGTTGTTAGCACTGTAAACTCACAGTAGCCTCAAAGTTGTGGGTTCAAATCCCAACTTGAATTTCATTCTAAATATGAAGATATTGACCCTTTGCACCGACGTCACCTAACCACGTGGGTCCACCATAGTGGACGGCAAAAGCATGTAAACAGTGAGCGACACGATTACTAAACAAAGGGGAAAGTAGAGCCTGAAATTGTTTTTGCGATCAAAACAAAAACAACTCCTCCAGCATTCCTTCCACTAGTTCATGCCCAGTTCAGTTATCAGAAGAAGTAGCGCATCTAGCGCATCTAGCGGGGGCTCATAGAGAGCGGTATGCTAACTAGCTTACCAACGTTAGCTTACATTCTCTCTGCAGCTGTTCACCGATGTAAACATGTTGCTGACTTTGCCTAAACTCACCCCTCTGGATTTATAACTTTATGTTGTAAACAGCGTTTCACTTCACACCAAAGCTGATTGTTAAAAAGTCCGGATCCCTACCAGCTTCTGTTGCTGGTGGTGCTACCGGGTTCAGCTGCTGCTCTCACAACGGAATGAGAAGATCTCTGAACGCCGACGCTCATATAAATAAATAACGTCATTTTAACACACATAATCATACATCGGAGCTTTAATATTGTTAATAATTGTCTCGCTTTACACTACAGTAGACGGAGCGCAGCCTCCGTGGTGAAACACCCATCCATCAGGATTATCAATATGCCTATCAGGATCTGCTCTGGAGTGGTTCTCCTCTTATCTTTCTGAGCGCTCCTTTTCTGTGGCCTTCTCCAAGTGTAGGTCCTCCACCACCTCTCTTACCCATGGTGTTCCACAAGGTTCTGTGCTGGGGCCTCTGCTCTTCCTCCTCTATCTGCTTCCTCTTCAGCACATCCTGAGCTCCTTCAAAGGAATCTCCTACCATCTTTATGCAGATGACATCCAACTGTACATCTCCTTTAAGCCCCATGAGATGTCTAAGCTGCAGCTGTTACACACCTGCTTAGACTCTATCAAAACCTGGATGGCTGGGAGCTTTCTTCAGCTGAATGAAGATAAGACTGAGATCCTCATCTGTGCCCCAGACAAGCTGGTTCCCAAAGTCAGAGACTCTCTTGGTCAGCTTGCTTCTCACACCAAACCTTCTTTCAGGAATCTTGGCGTGACCTTTGACCCAGCTCTCACCCTGGATTCTCATGTCAGTTCTCTTGTTCGCTCTTCCTTCTTCCATCTCAGGAACGTTGCTAAGCTGAGTCCCATTCTGTCCCGCTCTGAACTTGAGACAGTTCTCCACACCTTCATCTCCTCACGCTTAGACTACTGTAACTCTCTTTTCACGTGTCTGAGCAGAACCTCCCTGAACCGTCTACAGGTGGTTCAGAATGCCTGTGCTCGGCTTCTGACCAAGTCCTCCAAACACACCCACATCACCCCACTTCTCCTCCAGCTTCACTGGCTGCCAGTCAACTTCAGGGTTCATTCCAAGATCATGGTTCTGGTCTATAGGGCCTTACATGGACAAGCACCATCTTACATTGGTGATCTTCTTAGTCCCTACACCCCCAGCAGGTCCCTGAGGTCCAGTGACCAAAGCCTACTGGTTGTGCAGCACCAGGCTAAAGACCAAAGGTGACAGATCATTTGCTGCTGTGGCCCCCAGACTCTGGAACTCTCTCCCCCTGACCCCGGATTTCCACAGGAGCTGTCAGCAGCACATTACTGCAGCAGCACGTCTTGCTCGCGTAAGCTGCTGCTCGGCCCTTTTCACGAGACGCGAAGCAGCAGGGGAGCGGCTGTCACCGACCGAGCACGAAGTCACACGAGTGACTTCGTCAGTAAACACAACAACAAGCAGGAGAAAACTACAACATGGCTCCAAAAGGTTTGTGTTTTATGTTCTGTCTGTTTTATAATCGCCAATACGGACCTGAAAAATAAAGGAGACCGCTAGCTAGGTGATAACTTCTCACGGGGCCGCACAGTTAGTAACCTTTTTTAAAAGTAAAGCAACCGGAAGGCAGTATGTTCTTTATTCTGAAAATCTCGGGAGCTTCTCTCCATTTCCGCATCCGATTTCCTGTCTTTCCTTCCCCAAAAATGTCGAACTTGACCCGTTTCAGAGGCGTCGCGCATAGAAAATAGAACCGGCGCGTAAGGGCCGCGACCTGCTGCTCCTGAGACGCGGCCGACTCGCTCTGCTGACGGCTCCGGTGGAAAAGGTTCTGTTGACCACAGCGGTTCCTATCAGCAGCTATGACGTGCTGCTGCAGTAACGTGCTGCTGACGGCTCCTGTGGAAAGCCGGGGTGAGCCTGAGATCAGTGGACTCAGTGGTCTCCTTTAAAAAGCAGCTGAAGACTCATTTGTTCAAGCTGGCTTTTGTATGACCTTCTTCACCTCTCTCTCTTTATTCTGCTCTCCCCACCTACTCCACCTTCCTCAGGATCCACTGATTTCCCTCTTTCCTGTTCACTCTCTCTCTTTCTTAATGTTTTTAATGACAATTGTCTATTTTTGCTCATTTAAAAAATATTTTTAACCATTTTCTAAATTCTTTTTTATATTTTTACAATTTTTGTTTTTGTGAAGCGCCTCGTGATTTTTATCTTGAGAGGCGCTATAGAAATCATATTTTCTTCTTCTTCTTCTAGTGATGCTGGTAAGTAAACTACAGCCTAAAAGTTTTCAACTAGTGAATTACCCTAATCTCAGAAGAGTAAACTACTTTATTTATTTACCTCAGCAATGTACTCCACGTGTACATCATGTCTGCAGTAGTAAGTGATTGTAATTTGTCAAAATGCCAGATGGGCTTTCCATCACCATTAAAAAAAACTGTCAAAGGTGGAAAATATTTATACGGCACGGTGGAGAAACGAGGGCCCGGGTGGGATTTGATCCCCAGACTCCCGGGCGAAAGTTGCTCGCGATAACCAGTCAACCAAAGGGACATCCCCCTTGGTCAAGCAGCCAGGGTGCATGATCAATCGGGTCACAGTGACAGGACGCTCACACTGTCACAGTTAATTCAACCTCTGTATTAGTGCGCCACTGATCCAGAACCTCCTCAGAACTGGCAGGTTTCAGCCCTTCTTCACCTCTGTGAGAAGAAAAACTTTGTAGGATAATTTAGTGTCAACAAGGACAGCAAAAAAAGCTAAATTCTTCATGAGAAAACTATGAGGGGCAGACCAATATCCTGCCAAGGTACACGCATTGGTGCGCTGAGGACAGGAGAAAAGTCATTTTCTCTGATGGGTCTTCTTTCAAATATTTTGGAGCATCTGGAACAAAGACTGTTTGAAGATGAAAAGGTGAGCATTCCCACCAGTCCTGTGTCCTGGCAGTGGTAAAGCTTTCTGAGACTATGCGTGTTGGGGTGCCTCTCAAAGTGGACTCACGTACAGTTTAGCCTCAGAACACAGCCATGAATAAAGAATGGTACCCAAGCATGCTCCAAGAGGGACTCCAACCAACAATCCAACACTCAAGCCTAATTTAGACTTCTCCATCAGCTCCACAAGGGAGAGATGCACACGCACGGACGGAGATGTCTTCAGACTTCTCCGTCTCCTGGGGAGTGTTGCACAGCAATTCCCCGCCAGGACACCAGAGGGCGTAGCGCTGTTCTGTGGTATCCTGTCATGTATCTGGTCCGAGATAGTGTGTTTACTGTTGTGTTTATAATGTTTTTGTATTTAAGAGACTTTTTAACATGGACAAATTTGTGTCTCATCCGCCTCCACCTCTTCATGCGCTCGCCACCTCTAAAGCCACGTTTCCTGTCATTTCCGTCCACGAATAAAACGCTTGCTGCGCATCTTTTCACTCCTCCAGTCACGGGTGGATAAAATATTCATGTTTTTAGAGTTTTTCCATGAGAATTTCATCAAATGTGCTCCGTGTCTGCCGCTAGATATCCTCCACTCTTCTTATGTTTTTGAGGGCGCAGTGGCGACAGCCGTGTCCTGACCAATCACAAGCTTGCGGCCTTCGTCTCGTCGGACCGATGTTTAGAAAAGAGAGTTCGACTCCATCCGTCCTTGCGAGCCTGCTGGAGAGCCCTCGAAAGGACGGATGATGGCGTTGCGTACGTCCGTCCCGATGCAGGCGAAGAAGTATGAATTAGGCTTAAGATTCAAGATTCAACAAGCTTTTATTGTCGTTGAACCAGCGTCTCGGTACAGCGTGTTAGACCACAAGGATGAAGTCATCAGAACTAAGTTTGCGTTATCTGTCAGCATCCAAGGGGAACCCCAACCCCAAATGTCAAAGGGCACAAAGTCAAACACGGATCCACAAATTCAGACAGCATTAGGAGAAGAAGAACGGGTCAGGTTCTGGACTAACGTTGGTCCCCATGTTTCATCTCTAACTGATGCGTGTAATTTAATCCCAACAGTGTTTAGTTGATCCTGCTCTGTACCTAACACATAGAACTGTGTACACCACTTCCTGTGTAGGTTGGAGACTCCTGGTTAACTGATAAATGTGCTGAGTCATGCTCCTGTAACCTCGGCAAAATCACATGTGAGGACCACAGCTGTAATGCCAACTCAGTTTGTGCCCTGGACAAGTACGGAGACCTTTTCTGTCAGCCTACCAGTGAGTGACTCACTCATATGTGTGCAGACCGGAGTCTCAGAACCACCAAACGGAAAATAATCCACTCTGATCATTCTGTCCTCTTTTATAGAGTTTGATAGGTGTACCATCTCTGGAGATCCTCACTACAGAACCTTTGATGGTTTTAGCCATCACTTCCAGGGTCCCTACACCTACGTCCTCACTCAGGACTTCAACAAGCAGACTTCCTTAGCTCCTCTTCTGGTTAGAGGGAAGAACATTAGAAGAGGGGGCAACAGCAGGATCTCCTTCCTGGACCAAATCTACATTGATGTCTATGGTGTCAGTGTTCGTTTCCTGCAGAAGAAAGTTGTCCTGGTCAGTACTGTTTGACTTTTATTGCTGCCATTTTCATTGATCTTGTAGCAAAGCCAAACATTTTCAGTAATAATGTTTACATTTCCATGTAGGTGAATGGGGAGCGTGTCAGTCCCCCTCTCAGGCCAGTCAGTGGTTTGACTATCACCATGAACTCCAAAGAGGTTCAGGTCTCCACAGACTTTGGACTTAGTGTACGCTTTGATGGAAACAGCCGTGGTGGTAAGAATCCTGGACCCTACACTAAGTCCTTTGTTCAGCTTATGTTTAAGTTTATTTATTTCCTTCCCCCATAACGCTTTCTTCCACACTACAGAGATCATACTGCCCAGCACCTACAGGAACTCTGTTGGAGGACTGTGTGGAAACTATGATGGCATCACTAGAAACGAGTACATGAAGTCTGATGGGACAGTGGTCAGAGACCTAAACGTGTTTGGAGAAAGCTGGAGAGTCAGTGACCGACAGGCTGAGGCGCCACAGTACAACCTGCATTTTCCTGTCCATGTTCAGAGGTAGTACCACAACTAGGGTTACAATCAAATCAAAGATACTTTATTAATCCCAGAGGGAAATTAGAGTTTCAGTACACGCAATTCAGAGATCAGACATGCATGGGCAAGACACATGACAAGAATTGGTGACTGTGGTCATTCGCAAACCGAGTCGCGCTACCTTAATAGAGATAAGAGGGTTACATGAGGATTGGTTCAGGTGGAGGGAAAAAAGGCACTTCAGAGTTACTCTCCCACCAGGAGGGCAGCTTTGCTCTGCAAAAAAAAAAAAACCCACCTCAGACAGATATGAAACAGACTCCAGACAACACAACATAAGTGTCCACTAGGTGGGGTGGTGGGTTGGGACTATCCCCACTTCAGTTCCTGCAGCCACGATGAAGCAGCACATGTCACCTCAGTGTGGATAGGGGGAGGAGCATTGAGGGTTGGAGGGTTGCAGTGACCCTGGAACGTTTCAGCGGCCTTCCCGCAGTCCCGCCCAGGCTGGGAAAGGAGACAGAGTTGAGTTGCCATAGCGACAGCACATTCCACATATCTTCTGAGGGGGAGTTTTCGTTGTAGCCTTGCAGGCTCAAGGGCGCCAGATTCCGATTAGAAATTGTTTTGGGGCCAGACAGAGATAATTTCCTCTCTGTCTTACAGTTTGTTGGTCCTCAACCTCTCAGAATCCCAATAATGGACATTAATCTATCCCAATCCGTGCTGATTCGTCCACTCTTTCCTTGATGGCATCCGTCTTTTGTGCCAGTGAATGAATCTCGGCCAAAGTTCCAAGCTTAGATTCATCTCGACAATTATGTGAGTCTGAATTCACAACGTGGTGCAAACCATCTCTGAGCTCCGGGATCAGGCCAATATTCTTCGACAGCTCGTTAATTTTCCGGTAAGCCAGGAAGCCTCCAAGGCCAATGAGCAGGAAACATGACACCAACACCATGATTACAGATCTGGTTTTAAAATTTAGATTAGGTTAAAAATGTACTAACAAGACCCTCTGAAATCATCGAGCTCAGGCAGTTCAGTGTTGGAGACAAAACATCTACTTGGTGTTTGCCACATTTTATGTTGATCTGTCAAATCAGCTTTAAATTGATGAAACTTTAGTGTCCTTCAGCACCTAGAAGCTTCCGTTTGTGGAAGGTGCTACACAAATAATTTTCAATTGTTGGGCTGCCACACAACTATTTTAATAGTCGACTTATCATAAAAGTTCAGCTTATTGCACCAGGATGCTCCGATGTACCCGTCATTAGCGTCTAGTCTGAAGTGTGATCAGCTATGTTTTAAATCTAATAATAAAGACAAGATGATAGCTCATCACACAACTTTTAATTAACGTTGTAACCTGTTAATGCAAATGCTACAGTCAGGTGGAGGTAGGCACCTAAAACCAAAAGACACAAAATGACGTGTTCACAAATGCATCCAGCTAAAATGGTCTTTTTTGGCTTTGTAACAAACTCATCCATTCAAGAGAGGGACTGTTGTTTTTAGCGCTGTAATGTAGCGGGATTAAACTAATCATCAACGTTTGTGACATTAGAGCAAATTTGTGACACGCGTTGTGAAGGTTAAAAAAAATCACCACCACTACTGTTGTTGCTACACTTATAACTCTCTGTTGATTTTAGCAGCTAACAACGTAAACTTACCGAAGCGACTCTTTGTTCTCCGCCGTGACGTGCTTCCGTTTAAGGTCCTCGCGCGTCACCGATGTGCGCCTGTGAAAGGAGAGTTTCACTTTGCAGATTTTGCACCGTGCGAGCCGTTCGTTTGTCTTTGTAAAACGCTCTTTCAACCGCACCCCGCTAATAAATGCAAATCCTAACTCTAACCCGCAAACTAACAGAAGAGAGGCCTGCAATCGCAGATTACAGGGAAATCTAATCCGTGGGTCACCATCAGTCCAGTTGGTGTCTGCCATGGTGGGCGGTGGTAGGTCAGCACTGTGGTCTGGTATTGTTGTACCCCATAAAAGCAAGATGTGGTCCAGCCAACCTCCAGCCATCCTAATGGCAAGACAGGGACTTAAGATTGGTTTATGCTTGACGCATTTACTTTCCGCTTGGTGATGCGGCTCGCGGATGGAACGCGCTTCACAACTTGCAGCGTTTATGGTTCATGCGGCTCGTCTCTGCGGTGAGCCAATATTCTCCCAAACTGTAGGGGGCAGCATGGAGCTCAACGGCATGCATCCAACACTACACCATAGTAGAAGTAAAAATTACTGTTTACAACATGGTATTCCAGCATTTTTTAACTCACTCACTGCCAGCCGTTTCCTGATCACTAACGGCCTTCGCTGCCAGCGTTTCTCACCGTTTTTACTGTTTTTTAAGAGTCACAGAACGTTGCGCGCTAGCATGATGTCGACGCCAAAACAACCAAAACAAAGAGGAGACTCACCTCTTACATCAGGAAGAAGCCATGTGTTTCAAGCGTTATCCGTTCTTTCATAATCCGTTGTCGAATTGTGATCGGCAGACGCTTTTCCGGTTCGCGCCTCACTTTTTTTTACAGGAACGGCCCAAAACGATCTCCAAACACATGGATGTGTTGCTTCCTGATCATGTGATCTGTGACGTATGCGGATGAAGATCGGCTTCAGGGCTGAGATGTTTGTTCTCTCAGCGCGGGGGCTCGTTCCGATGCTCAAACAGTAAAAAAAAATGCAAATGACGACTTTAGTCGTCAATGGCAGTGAACGGTTGGATCTAACATGACGACTTTAGTCATCAATGGCAGTGAATGTGTTAACAGCGTCCTCGTCTTTTCCGACAGTGCGAGCTATCTCTCTCCAAGAATTATTAACAACATGTTGATCACGGTGATCTCTGAGAGCTGAATCATGCAAATGTCTGTATTTACAAACCTCTGCCATACTAGATCTTGCCAGTCCGCCATGTTTTTCCGCGTCCGTCCGCGTGGTTAGAAAATTTCCTAGGTGCGCAGTGCGGAAAGTTTGGGCCGTGCGGAGGCGCGGTGGAGGGGCGTGGTTGTTAAAATGACGCAATTTTGCCGCGCGGAGCCGTGCGGACCTGGCCGACGCGTCAAGCATAAACCAAGCTTTACAAAGGACAAATAAAATGCAAGGAAAAAGTGTGCTCAGGAAAATGGGCTGCTACCTGGCATTGTTGGAATGCTGCAATGCAAACAAACCCAAAAAGCCGGGTTGTGGGAATTATCAAAAAAAAATCAGGAAACTGTGTTATTTTCTATTTTGCATCAAGGTAATTTATGCTAGATATTTAAAGTTCAAACGGCCCTAATCTGTTTGATTTGACCCAATACTCATCTTATTATCAGCATACTCAACATTACATTATTCCAAAACAAAACCCGCAGTCCCACATCTGTCCGTCCTGTTTGTCCAGGCGAGAGGCTGAGACGGATCCAGACTCTGGATTTGAAACTTCTGACTGCTCCCCATCACAACTGGAGGACTACAACAGTGTAAGAAAGTGTGGAGCACTGTCTGACCCAGATGGACCGTTTGCTGCCTGCCATGCCTCTCTGCCTCCCCAAAGCAACCAGGAGTGAGTCTGTGTGTGTAAATATTACTGCGCTGCAAGTCTTTGCTTATAACGAGTGTGTGTCTCTGTCCTGGTAGCGACTGTGTGTTTGATCTTTGCGCTGAGGATGGCAGTGATCAACTCCGCTGTGCCAGTTACGAGGCATATGTCGCCGCTTGTCAAGAGGCTGGAATTAAACTGGGATCTTGGAGGCAGCAGCTGAACTGTGGTAAGGTGCATTAGGTGCATTAGAACCGGGACCTGGAACCTGTCAGAAACAGCCATGTTCCATTTCAGACCTCCCCTTTGTCTTGCAGCTCTGAGCTGTTCTGCCAACAGCTCTTACTCCTCATGTATGTCACCATGTCCCTCTTCCTGCGCCAACCTGGCGGCACCCTCTGAATGTGAAATCACTTCCTGTGTGGAGGGGTGCCAGTGTGGGGCCGGTTTCGTCATGAGTGAGGGGATCTGCGTGCCGTATGCTGAGTGTGGCTGCACATTTCTCAACAGATACTACCCTGTGAGCTGATTCGGCTGCAACACTTGTCACGTTTTGGTGCATGTCTGTGTTCATGTGATGTGATTTCCAACTCCCTCCCGCTTTCTGCAGCTGAATGAGAAGTTTGTGAGTGAGGACTGTTCCCAGACCTGTGAGTGCACCAGTACTGGGTCTGTGTGCCACCCCAAGACCTGCCAGGATGGGTACATCTGCACCATCTATGATTTCAAACGAGACTGCTACAAAGGTAAGTCCTGTGACAGGCTGGCATTTCAAAGCTTCATAATATGGAATTGAACTGAAAACAAATCTGTAAAGACCATTTCCTGAACCGTAAATGATGGGAATGTATTTCTGTAAAATTTAGAAAAATAAAATTCTTTTTTATTTCATTCAAAATAAAAACAAATAAAACATATAAAAAATAAGAAATACATAACAACAAAAAATCTAATTTGAACAAAAAGGAGCAGAATGAAGAAAAACATCTTATAATTTCTGCCCCCTTTTCCAGAAGAAATCATCTATTTACAGAGGTGGAAAGTAACAAATTACATTTACTCACGTTACTGTAAATGAGTAGATTTTTTGTATATTTATACTTTTTAAGTCGTTTTTAAAATCTGTACTTTTACTTTTACTTGAGTACGTTTTTTCAAAAGAATTGTAATTCGCTACAGTTTAAATCGTATCTGTTACTGAGTAAAAATAAACTGTAGGCTTAATAAATTAAAAGCACGTGTCGCAGCGTCGGAACTGAAAGAGACACCTGCACGAGCGCCGCGTCTAAACCGTGGGGGTGTGGGCATGGACGTAATTTTGGGGGGGGGACAGGGGGGACATGTCCCCCCCACTTTTTCCAAAGTCAAGTTTTGACCCCTGCACTTTTTACCATCCAAAAACAATATTACTGTATATTAAATTGTCACTGGTTGAGCTCTAGGACCAAGCAGAAAACAACCGTTTGTGTTGAAGCCTGTTTCCCATTGGAACATACTGTAAAGATCCACCCCCCTCCCCCCACCCCCGTGTCCCCCCCACTTCTAAAGTGAAAATTACGTCCATGGGTGTGGGTGTACACTTTGCTCAAAAACATCAGTTCAGTCCCTGTGATCCACTCACTGTTCACCTCCTCTCTCCCTCCTCTCCTGTGGGTTGGATCCCGCACCTTCGCGCGCCGGTGTGACATCATCAGAATTCTGCTCGGTTCGGTAGCGAGATTCGGTTCCGTGTTTGAAATGTGTTTCCGTACCGCTCCGCACGGCAGCGGCAAAATAACGTTTAGCGCTCCTAACAAGCGTATTCTCAGAGCTCTGCTCATAAAACAGAAGACCTGCAGGCCTCTGTGAGTTAAAACATCCTGATACTGTTCAGGTGTAAACATTGTGCTCCATCCCTGTGTTTGAACTCAGAAGATGCTTCTTGATGCCACAGATATGTGATGATTTAGCTTGTTTCTTTATTTTACTCAAGAATAAGAGATTAAATTATTACAAAAGCAGTTCAATGTAGTTAAATTAGTCGTTCAAATGATTCTAACATGCTGCAGTGTGTGTGTGTGCGTGCACACTAGCGTGCAGTGAACTGCTGTGGTTTTGCACTGATGTAGCCATCTTTACGCTGACAAAAATGTAACTAAGTAACTTTTACTTTGAGTACATTTTATTTACAATAATTTTTACTTTTACTTGAGTAAAAATTTAGGCAAGTACTTTTACTTGTACTTGAGTAAAAAATTATCAAGGTATTGGTACTTGAGTAGGACATTTTAGTACTCTTTCCACCTCTTTCTATTTATATATAATTACCATTTGTTAGACACACACACACACACACACACACACAGATTAATTTCAAACATTTTCCTGTTCTAAATTCCAGAGCGATCATGATCATTGATTTAATTTACATTTTCATAATTATTTACAGTACACTGAATTTGGTACATTTTTTGAATATACTAAATGACGGCGTATTTTCAATTTCCCTTTTAAGGTTATTCCATAATTTAACACCATTTACAGATACATCCCACTCCTTCATTTTAGTTCTAAATCTAGGTTTTGTAAACACATCAGTTTCTTTCAGCATGTAATTACTAGTTCTCTTTTCAGCTATCCCCTGAATGTTTGTTGGCAGAGTACCTAAATTGGCTTCATACATGGTTTGTAAGATTTTCCAGTCTTTTAAATCATGAAATTTCAGTAATTTATATTTAATAAACAACGGGTCCGATGGATCTCTACAGCCATGTGAGGGATCAAGTCAAATGAGTGGAGGAACACCGGAAATCTCCAAAAATTTCTTTTTCTTTTAAAATGTCCTCACAAAAATAGCTCGAGTTCATAAAAGAGGTCAAACAAACAAACTGAAACTCAATAAACTGCTAACTTAACATGCTGGCTGACTGAAACCATAACCGACCTAACAATCAAAGACACACAAGGGTGTATATACACACTGGCTGATCAGACCATATGAACAGTGGGGATTACTAGACAAACATTTACTAACTAAAACTAAAACCACAAATCAGTACAGTCAGATTGTTAATAAACCTAAACATCCTAACCCATAAATCTAACTATTTAACTTCAAAATTAAATTAATTAACAAATGACAAAATAATAAACTAAAGGAAATTCTTCAGTCCCCTCTTCAGGGAGCTATTGGTTTGGCCCCATCAGCTCCTCCTGTATTTAGCTGACAGAACCCCTTCACCAATGTTTGCCTGTCCCATCTCAGGAAGTGGGGAACCTCTCAGCACCGGTAAGAGAAAACATAAATTAACTTAAATAGAACAAATGAAAGGCATAAAATACAGCAATTAACTAAATGTGCGCGCATACAATCAGAACTAATGCATTTAAGCCGTCTAAACAATAAATCCAAAGAAATATAAACATACAAACTGAAATCATGAAAGTGCATGAGTGTACTAACGTTCACTGTTGCGTGGACATGGATGTGGCCATCACAAGCCACTATAACTGATGATTCTCAGAGCTCTTTTCTGGAAAATAAATAAGGGTTGTGTATAGTTTTTGTACGTTGCTCCCCAGATTTATACACAATAAGTCAAGTATGGAACAATCAGTGAAGTGTACAATGCCAACAAACCAGAATTAGTCGGTAAAAACGTGACTCTGTGTAATACTCCTAAGGATTTGGCAATTTTACCTTTGATGTAACTAATACGGGATTTCCATGTCAAGTCTTCATCAATAAGAACTCCAAGAAATTTAGTTTCTTTTACTCTTTGAATTTCAATCCCATCTCTTTCCAATGACACATCAAATATTTAGATATCTACAGTTTGTTTTTGTTTTTTTAAATACGACAAATAAAAATGATACTTCAGGTCCTGTTTTGACAAGAAAAGTTGAATTTAGCTATTATGGAAGTTTGTATTATTTATGTGTAGAAAATTACAAGACAAAGATTCAAAGGTAATCGTTCTTATGTGGGCCTGTGCACCAGAAACCCGAGCAAGGACAATTAGACCATCATCTCCCCAGATATTTCCCATCATTGTTGGCAGGACGGAAAAGATTAAGATGAAGAAATCAATTTTCAAAGGAGAATGTAGAAGTTCAGCACCTTAGCGCAGCTGTGCACAAATCAATGCGGGACAGAGCCAGCCATTATTATTTACAGCTGCATCAGCGAATCTGCAGAACACGATGGGTTTTGAACACAAACACGGTCATGAAACACTCACCCCGCCCCCTCAGGGATCTTCTCTGAGACCCTTTATGCCAGAACTGGACACTCGAAACACCATTTGCTGTTTTTTAGGTCGAAACATCTTTTGTTGTTGGTGACTTAAATTGGTGTTTTTCTTTTTCGGACTCTGGTAGTTTGTCCTAAAGTTGTAGCAGATGGCTGTTTCTCGTCGTCATCGTCTTCCTCCGCTTATCCGGGTCTGGGTCGCGGGGGCAGCATCCCAACTAGGGAGCTCCAGACCGTCCTCTCCCCGGCCACCTCCACCAGCTCCTCCGGCAGGACCCCAAGGCGTTCCCGGACCAGATTGGAGATGTAACCTCTCCAATGTGTCCTGGGTCGACCCGGGGGCCTCCTGCCGGCAGGACATGCCCGAAGCACCTCCCCAGGGAGGCGTCCAGGAGGCATCCTGACCAGATGCCCAAACCACCTCAACTGACTCCTTTTGATCCGGAGGAGCAGCGGTTCTACTCCGAGTCCCTCCTGAATGTCCGAGCTCCTCACCCTATCTCTAAGGCTGAGCCCGGCCACCCTACGGAGGAAACTCATTTCTGCCGCTTGTATCCGCGATCTCGTTCTTTCGGTCGTTACCCAAAGCTCATGGCCATAGGTGAGGATTGGGACGTAGATCGACCGGTAAATCGAGAGCCTGGCTTTCTGGCTCAGCTCCCTCTTCACCACGACAGATCGGCTCAGCGTCCGCATCACTGCAGACGCCGAACCAATCCGCCTGTCGATCTCCCGATCCCTCCTACCCTCACTCGTGAACAAGACCCCGAGATACTTAAACTCCTCCACTTGAGGTAGGACCTCTCCCCCGACCCGGAGGTGGCAAGCCACCCTTTTCCAGTCGAGAACCATGGTCTCAGATTTGGAGGTGCTGATCCTCATCCCGGCCGCTTCACATTCGGCCGCGAACCTACCCAGCAAGAGCTGAAGGTCAGAGCTGGATGAAGCTAGGAGGACCACATCATCCACAAAAAGCAGAAGAGATTCTCCTGCCACCAAACTCGACACACTCCACACCACGGCTGCACCTAGAAATTCTGTCCATAAAGGTAATGAACAGAACCAGTGACAATGGGCAGCCCTGGCGGAGTCCAACCCTCACTGGGAACAGGTCCGACTTACTACCGGCTATGCGGACCAAACTCACGCTCCTCTGGTAAAGGGACTGAATGGTCCTCAACAGAAAGCCACCCACCCCATACTCCTGGAGCGTCCCCCACAGGGTGCCCCTGGGGACACGGTCATAAGCCCTCTCCAAATCCACAAAACACATGTGGATTGGTTGGGCAAACTCCCATGCCCCCTCCATCACCCTTGCAAGGGTATAGAGCCGGTCCACAGTTCCACGGCCAGGACGAAAACCACATTGCTCCTCCTCAATCTGAGATTCAACTATTATATTTTACAATTTAATATGTTTTTGTTTTTTATCTCCACAATGTATTCATAGCTATACTGTTAAGAGGCATGACAAAATGTCAGAAAATGAGCCGTTAGCCAGCCCACACAGACACACACACACAGAGAGAGAGAGAGAGAGAGAGAGAGAGAGAGAGAGAGAGAGAGAGAGACGGACATCACTTACCTAATGACCACATGTTGGTTTACAGATGTCCAACCAAAAAAAAATCCCTAAGCATTTCCACTTTTTTCCTAAAACACTTCTAAGATATAAAAAGGGCAACAGTGGCACAGGAGTTAGGAGCTCGCCCCGTAATCGGAAGGTTGCAGGTTCGAGTCCCGCTCAGTCTGTCGCTGTTGTTGTGTCCTTGGGCAAGACACTTAACCCACGTTGCCTGCTGGTGGTGGTCGGAGGGACCGGTGGTGCCAGTGCTCGGCAGCCTCGCCTCTGTCAGTGCGCCCCAGGGCAGCTGTGGCTACATAGTAGCTCATCCCCACCAGTGTGTGAATGTGTGTGTGAATGGGTGAATGACTGATTGTGTTGTAAAGCGCCTTGGGGGGTTCCAGGACTCTAGAAGGCGCTATATCAAATACAGACCATTTACCATTTTCCCATTTAAAAACTCCACTTCAGTCATATTCTGGATAATGTCACCTCTGTTTTGGCAAATTTACACTGGCTTCCAGTTCGGTTTCGTATTAAAGGGACTTTACGGAGTTTTGAATTTTGTGTGTGTGTGTGTGTGTGTGTGTGTGTGTGTGGGTGTGTGTGTGTGTGTGTGTGTGTGTGTGTGGGTGTGTGCGTGTGCGTGGGTGTGGCCCGGAGGACAGGAGAACGCACAGCTAATTAATTAAATAATGTGGTTCTGTAGCTTTCTCTTCAGCACAGCCGACAAAGGTTTATGATGGGTCAGTCCGCCTGCATGCTCAGATCATTCCCTTCCCTTGCTTGAAAAATTGTTCCAAAATGAAAGTTGAACCCACATCTTTTTTTTATCTGTGAATTCAATGCCGTTCGGCGAGTCTCAAATAAAAATTTGGGCATCTTACTGTACAAAATATATCATTAATGTAAAAAATAAACTCTAAATAAACTATGTTCACATCCAGAATCAAACCCAGGTCTTCTGCACGAAAGCCCGACGTGTTACTAGGCGAGCTAACGCGCCAGAGATGTCACTTATATCTGTACCACTTAAGATCGGTTCGGAGGGCGATGCCTGAGCGTGAACACGCATGAAGCAGCCTGCTCGACCCGAGCATCTCTCTTTTTCTGTGATTTTACAGAAAAACAGGCAATCACAGTAAAAATGCCAGGGCTCATTCTACAGGACCAGGGCATTGCAGGAGAACGTATGAAGAAGACATTTATTATTTCTATACATGTTTTGGCTGTCAAACTTCCATAATGCCCCTTTAAGTTCAAAATTCTCCTGTTGGTTTGCAAATCTATTCATGAAATGGCCCCCTCTTACTTGGCACAGCTTTTAAGTCCCTATGTTCCGGCGCGAACCCTGAGGTCCTCTGACCAGCGCCTTCTGCTTGTCCCTCCGGCCCGCTATATGGCCCGTGGCGAACGGGCTTTTTCGGTTTGTGCGCCTAAACTTTGGAACCAACTCCCCCTGACGGTCCGACTTGCCCCCTCCCTTCCCACTTTTAAAGTACGTTTGAAGACTTATTTTTATTCCCTGGCCTTCCCGGCTGAGACTGTTCAACCCTTGTGCTTTCCTGTTTTTTTTTTTTTTTTTTTTTTTGTTATTATAGTTTTTATTTGTTTTATCTATTTTATGTTGCTGTATCTAGTTTGGTGACGTATTGTCGTGTACAGCACGTTGGTTGGCGCTGTCGCCGTTTAAATGTGCTTTATAAATAAAGGTTGATGATGATGATGTCTCTGCTGTCAAAAGCAACTGAGCTGTAGAGCTCCAGGAGGGTTCTGGTTGCACTGATTGAGTCTTTGGTTGTGACATGACCATGAAATTGTTGTCTCTGCTGCAGCAAGCGCCTGTCTCGACTACCCCTGTCTGAACGGAGGGACGTGTGTGGATAGCAGAGACCACAACTACACTTGCATCTGTAAGGAAGGCTTCGAAGGAGTGAACTGTGAGGTGGAAGCCACCCCAAAGAAAGGCCTGGGTACAACACTAATTCTTCCCTCTGACCTGAACACATGGATCTGTCCAACAGAAGGACTGGTTCTGTTAAAGTTCAGCTCAGGTTATTAACATTTTGATTTGATTTGAATGTTTTAAACCTAATTGTGTTTTACAGACACCAAATGGATCATTCTGATTGCAGTCTTAGTCCCAGTTGCTGTCATTGCTCTTGTGATGACCATTGTGTGTGTTTGCAGGCACAAAAACAAGTGAGTCTTTACATATTTACTTTAAAATCTTTGGAAAATGCCCGTTTTCTCTGCTCATGGAGTTTTCTCAGGCCCACCACAGACACACATGCATGACACAGAACTTCCACAAATATGTAGAAGTTCAGTGCTGGTCACAGGGTTAGTCCTCATCTCCTCAGTAGCCCCGTTGTTTGGGTGTTTGCCCTCAGGCTGAGAGATTGGGGTTCGAATCCCAGTAGGTTTCCTGGGGAGGACCACCATTTTGGTCGTGTCACATGTCTTGTCATGCCCAGACAATCCAAATTTTTGGGAAATAGGTGGAGCTGAAGGTGGGGCTTTGAGGGCAGGAGCAAATGAACCAAAATGAACCAGTGTAACTACTAGGTATCTGAGCTTACCCCCGAAGCTAAAAGCTCCAGGGTAGCTGACCTGCACGGCCGCCTGGCTTCTGGGCGAGGCTGTAGTTTTGCTGGTCACCTCGAGCTCTAATGCAGACTGTAAAAAATACAAGCAGAGCCTCAGACCGCTGCGATCGGAGCCGCTTATGTCGGCTCATTGTCCTCTCCGCCGCCATGGTCGGAGATCAGCAGGACATTAGCTAAATGCAAAACTTTAGCTAACAGAGATTTTCAGGCACTTTTCAGTGAGAAAAGCATTGCTCAGCAACTCCAGTGTGAAGCAATGTCAACTCAAAGAGCTGCAGTGTTTCTGGAGTCTCCCGCAGAGACCTCCACAAGCGACCAGCACAACTACAGCTCGAATGGAAGCCAGGTGGCCGCGTGTCTCGGCTCCTTCAGGAGACGGGAATGTGTAGCAGCTGTTCCCAGCCAAGAGACAGGAGAGTCCTGACACCTGCTTCACTGGGCTGCTCCTGAATGGATGAAGCAGCAGACTCACAGATCTCTGATCGCAGGGTCGCCGCTGTTGAAGGAAGAGGCCCGTTACCGAAACGCAGCAAACCTCCATTCTGCAGCAGCGACCTTGCTGGTCTTTGACTGCGGTGGACCAGCGAAGCCCCAAAGTCTTCACTAGCTTGCCTTGTTCAGCTTACCGAGCTCAAGTTCCGGTAGCCAGGCCCACTAACACTTTATATTTCACCCCATCTTTGACCAAGCAGTGTTATGTTAAATGCACACGATCGCACAGCAGTGTTCACCATTCAACCAGCAAAATAAGCACAGAAACATCATTTTACATACTAATAAAAATAAAGCAAAACTTCTTGGATGATCTCTTAATGCAACCAATAACCGCAGCTTTGTCCTCTTTGTCCAAATAATTCCATGATTAACATCCAAACACCTAAAGGACACAACTAAAGGTCAGAGTTGAAAGGGCCTTCCCCGGAGCTAGCCGCTAGCGCTAGCTCTGACGCTCAGCTACCTGTCAGTCAATCTAATGATTTATCATTTCAAGTATTTAATTACCTTCAGAGTTGTCATGAGTGTAAACTAGATCTATTAAAACTAAAACGTTTTTTGAACCAGGCTGTAAACATCTTTATTTTTGCTGTGAAGTTGGAATTTTTAACACGGGGCTCAATCGGAACTTGCTCTGTTTTGGAGCCAGCCCCTAGAGGATGAGGGTGGAACTGCATTTTTGGCACTTCCGTGTTGGGAGCAGTTGTGGATGTCCGGGGTTCCCGCTTAGTTGACACTCAGCATTAAGGGGTTGGATTAGGGGGTTAAACCACCAAATAGTTCCCGAGCGCAGCCACTGCTGCAGCTCACCGCTCCCCACACAGACGGGTCCAATGCAGAAATGTCATTTGTGATGATTAATGGGATTTTACAGTCGAATGAAACCCCTCATATATATCAGGTTTCTGTCAGTTCTAAATCATGTCGGGGGTAAGAATAGTTACCGAGTTTGTTTTCTCCACAGGAAGTACAAGCACAAGGAGGGAAATCTGACTTTGCAACAAACAAGTAAGAACTATTCACCTCCACATGTGATCTGAGTTTGTTTTTTTATATATATATAAAGGGACTTCACTTTTTGTTTTGCAGCATTTTCAAGTAATGTTATTTAATAAACCATGAGACATGAGATTCCATAGGAAATATGGAATCAATCTGATGGACCTTTGGGTACTTTTTAACCAGAAGATTGGAACTTTTTGTTGCAGGGATTATGGAACACTTTGTATTAACTGAGAGATGTTACAACCCGTCTAGGAGGGCCAGGCTGTAACATCAAAATGGTTCCATCTTCCACCAATTCCAAAACACCACACCAGAATTTCGAGTACAATAATTTATCCACAAGATCAAGGTGATGAACTAAGGACGAGGGAGGATTAATAACTCAGGGTGAACCAATGCCCAAAACAATCAACAAAACACCTCTAACTCCAGAATGACAACTGACCTACAAACTTAAAGGAAATAATTGACAACCAAACTTACCTCCCTGACTATCCAAAACAGGAGAAAACAGGAATGCAAAGAAAAAAGGCGGTTCACCCCTACAGAATCCTCGAACGGCAGGTACTAGTCACAAAAGGCACAAGGGCATCACACAAACACAGAGCATCAAAATGGTGGTTGATTGGAATGAGTGGAGGATGAAGAACACAGCTGCATCTCATCAGGCTCCTTTTAGCAGCTTTGTCCCAGCTGATCTTCCAATCCAAACGTCCCCTGGCCATCATCCACCAATCCTAGGAGGGCACCTGCACACTCAAAAAAACAACACTAGAAATACAAATAGTATAAAAATAAAAGACATAACATTCCTTATGACCGGGGTCATAACAGAGACAACAGAAAGAGATTCAAGTTTTAAAAGTTTCAAGATTTATTACTAAACAAATTAAAACTAGACTAACTTTAACACTAATCCTGGCTACTTGGCCAAGGGGATGTCTCTTTGGCTGACTGGTTAGCGAGCGTGACTCTCACCCAGGAGTCTGGGGATCGAATTCGCCTGGGCCCTCGTTTCTCCACCTTCATAAACACTGTATTTTTGTAGGCCTAGGTGTTATGGTTTTGTTTTCTGGCTGTAGGATTCTTACGTTTTAAGCGTGTGGTAATGTTACTACCTTCAGAGCCAGTGGTTAAACTCTTTCCGACGTGTTGTGTCTTGCAGACGTTCCATACGAAAGCATCCGGGACAAACAACAAAGACAGAGGCAGACAAGAATGTGACAACCATCAGACCAAACGGACTTCTTCATCTGACGGGATGAAGCTCTTTAACTTATACTTGTTTCGTGAAATACAAATGTTTTATCAACAGACTAGTTTATAAATAAAGCGCATGAAAAAAATGTTTCTGTAATAAAGCTTAAACAACGTGTTCACGTTGAAACTTGTTTCCTTTTACGATCGGGGAAGGCTCTTGTCCGTGGACTTGGACCTTTCAAGAAGTCCTTTTACACAAAAATGCATTAATTACAGAATCAACTTGGTTCACTTGCTGAAGAAAAAGGTTTTTGAGGAGTAGTTCTCATACTGTCAAAACGACGCATGCTCCCTCTTGTGGTACGCAAATTATGATATGTGTCACGAACTCCTCCCGCTAACGTCATTCCAATCATTCCTGCCACCAACGTGGCGGCTGACGTCATCACGCCGACACTACTTAAGGAAGTGCCGGCGTTTCATTCATTGCTCAGTCATCGTTCTCACCAGACTTTGTACCGAGTCTCCAGGCTTACCAGCCCTCTAAACCTTCAAACTAATCCTTCAGGAGATAACCACGCTGGTTATTTCCATCACTCTGCGTCTGGGCAACAGATCCTCTCAGTCACGCTTCAGATCTGCCAACGAACCTGACAACATGAGCTTCCAACCATCCAAGCTCCCCGGAGTACAACGCCTCCTAACTTTGAAGGTAAAGCCAACCGGATCCCACAAGGTCCTCTGGTGCCTAACTGTGATATTTAAAAAGTCCCATAGTCATCATCACACACTGGTGAAATTCATCTCTGCATTTGACCCCTCCCGTGGGGAGCGGTAAGCTGCAGCTGTAGCCGTGCTCGGGAAGAGTAGCGTCAACAGGAAGCGAGTTCTCTCTAGTTCAAGCTTTAAAGGAGTCTTTAGCAATGACTAGATTTCTGGTACCAGATCCATCACAGAAGACCCACCCAAGTTTACTTGCTTCAAGGCTCTTATTAAGACTAAGTCCCTACACCCCCAGCAGGTCCCTGAGGTCCAGTGATCAAAGCCTACTGGTTGTGCAGCGCCAGGCTAAAGGTCAAAGGTGACAGATCATCTGCTGCTGTGACCCCCAGACTCTGGACCTCTCTCCCCCTGAGCCTGAGATCAGTGGACTCAGTGGTCTCCTTTAAAAAGCAGCTGAAGACTCACTTGTTCAAGCTGGCTTTTGTATGACCTTCTTCACCTCTCTCTCTTTATTCTGCTCTCCCCACCTATTCCACCTTCCTCAGGATCCACTGGTTTCCCTCTTTCCTGTTCACTCTCTCTCTTTCTTAATGTTTTTTAATCACAATTGCCTGTTTTTTGCTCATTTTAAATATATTTTTAAACATTTTCTAAATACTTTTTTTGTTTTTGTGAAGCGCCTCGTGATTTTTATCTTGAGAGGCGCTATAGAAATGATACGTTCTTCTTCTACTGGCACAGATTCGGCCCATAAGCTGTTTGATTTGAAGAAGTATATTAGTGGAGAAGCTCTCGGTGTTTTATAAGGACCTTCTATTGCTGAACATACGCTATGGCCACTCTTTTGTAGTTCAAAGAGCTTTTTGGGGAAAATAAAGCAGTTGGCCAAAGATGGACCAAAGTTGGGAGTTTAGTGATTCCTCTGTAGCGTTGGAGAAGGCCATGAGCCTGCCTCAGCAATGTCAGAGGTCAACAAACAGTCAAGTGTCCAGAAGCTTCTTCTGCTAGAAATATTGTGTTCTTCCCTACTAAAGCAATTCCCAGTTTAGATAATCCCATCTGGACACTTCTCCTAAATAATCTCCCATGTTTGCAAGGAGCTGCAGCTACAACGCCCCATGGGAGACGAGACCTTTTAATAAAATTATTCTTATTTTGTTTCATTAAACAATTTCTTTCAATCTACAGGTTGTTTACAATCATATTCTGTTTTATCTACAATGATTTAATAATGCCTTTACTGCTTCACAGTAAATTAATGAATCAACAAATGTTTATTATTTCATGACTTATTTCAGGTCTTAAATAACCCAAACGAGTTTACCTGATTAATGTAATAATAATGTATTATTAGTTACATTCACATACTAATATCAGTATATTAACAAATATTTAACAAACTTACTTCACATTAAGTGGAATCAGCTTCATCTGAGTGTCTTGGTAAACGCCTGTACACACCGTATGGGATCTGCTTCGAGCTTGCTGGGTTCACCACATTGTTGATGTTGGTCGTCGCACTCATGGCCCGCACTTGGGCCGCCTCTCAGCACCTGATGGAACAACTGGGACAGCAGCGAGGGGGTAATAGAACTGGAACTGAAACGACGGACTGGGGCTCCTCCCTGACCGCGCTCCTACAGGACGACGTAACCTGCATCCACCTCGGCTGAAGACCCCCTGGACGCAACTACAACAGGACACAGCAAAGAGGAGACGCTGGAAAAGGATCAACTACCTCAAGCACCTGCACCCAATTCTCCGGACTGATTTCACGGTTAAGGACCTGTAGGACCTTTTTGGGGACAAGATCAGTTCCCTGTCAACCACCACAACACGCCACGGAGGGACCCTGAAGTTTTCCAATTGAGAAGTTGAACTTTGCGCTTCATGTTCCGAACTACGTTATTACGCTCCGGACTTAGGCCTAGTCCACACGTAGCCGGGTTTTTTGAAAACGAATATCCACCCCTCCAAAAACTTGCATCCACACCACCGCGTTTTAAAAACAAACTCTGTCCACACATACCCGAATAAATACGTTGTTAAGGACATGCCAGACCTGTAGGCGGCAGTACTTCCCCCGTTCTTAACCTCGTCCTTCGTCTGTGGTCTTCCACAAGGAGCAGTAATTCCGCTTGCAAAAACAAACAAGCAAAAAGCGCTTGGACAACTGATGGATCGGGTAGTGACAGAGCGCAGCTCCGAGGGCATCCATGCTGCCGGCTAGTGTAAACACAGGTCGCACACGTGATGTCAGCATTTTTTGTCGCGGAAAGTGACGTTGCGGACCTTAAAACTCCGGTTCTGTCTGTCCACACGCAGACACCCAAAACGGAGAAAACGCAGATCTTCACTTTGGCCGGAGTTTTTAAAAAGATCCGTTTTCGTGTGAAAAAACTCCGTTTTCGTGTGGATGACAGGCCAAAACGTAGAAAACTATCTACGTTTTGGCAGATCCCCGGCTACGTGTGGACAGGGCCTCAGACTTCAAGATACTCATCAACGCAAAACTGAAACCATCCTGATCAACGGAAGAAGACTCTGACTTTCAAACCTATTCTCCAAACAAGACTCTCAGTCCACAGACGAGCCCTTTGATGAAGAACGCCTGGTTACCCTCAGCTCTGCCGTAGTTAGAGCTGCGTAAATTAATATTACACGTTCATTTTTCCTCTTTCACTGAAGATTGTTCTGCAACTTGGAGCTTTAATCTAAATTCACCTGATGTTTCGATACACCGGACTGATGTTTTCTGAGTATTATATGGTTTTGTGAACCCTTCCCAATCTCCTTACAGGAACTGCCATAAGTCATAGAATTGTGCATCACAGTAAATCCATTTCAACATGTATGAAATAGGTTTTTTAAGGTTATAATTGTGTTGATTTAGCTGGTTCTATTCTCTATCTCTGTGAACTGCTGTAAGATATTATTGTCAGTTGTGTTTGCCTTATTTGTGTTTATTACCTTATTTGTTCTTATTATTTTGCTGATTTTTGTATGGAATGATTCTTTGGACAAGTTAACAGGATTGAGATTACGATCCACAATAGACGTATGATTGCAGCGCCTCATGCTGTGTTTGCCTTATCGTGTTGATTCTGAACCTTTCATATCTGATCGTGGTGCTTATCACTTTACTTATCATTTTTCTTGTTTCGATGCTTATCATTTTTGGCTTGAGTCGTGATTCATGTAGCTTTCATGGATGATGGTGACAAGTTATGGAAGTGGATAATATTCCTTATTATTTTACTTATTTTTATTTTCCTTGTTTTGTTTTGTTATGTTTTGTTGCTTCCTTTTGTTTGGTTGTCGTATTCGGATAAACAGGAGGGAATGTTATGGAAAAATGTATGTTTATTAATTCTTGATCATTGACTCAATCAACTGAATGTAAATGTATTGCTCTATGCCTCTTGATCATGCTCACTCATTCAGACACACCACACACACACACACACACACACACACACACACACAATCTCTCTCTCTCTCACTCCTCCTCTCTATAAATAAACTCTGTGACCAGATGTTCTTTGCATTTGGCCTCATCCATCTTGCCACAGTTATAACTGTTTGACTGGTCTGCTCATTGTCTCCATCTCTCTCCGACTACAGGAAATGGGTTATTGATAAACATATTGATAAAATCCATGACATCTTGAATAAATAAAATCAATTTATGGTTTGAGAGAACATTAATAAGATTTATTAACACTGGCTTTTGCTGGGAGGAGAGCAATTTTCCAGGAGAGGCCATGGCCACCCCTTGGGGCACCATTGGGACCAACTGAAGAGCAGCGCCTGGCTAATTTACCATGTGACAGTAGATCCATCCCCATCTTTCACCTACACTGGACTTGATGTTTTGGGCCCCTTCCATTCAAAACAGGGTTGAAAAGAGTGTTAGAGATATGGTCTGTTGTTTACTTGTCTATGATCAAGAGCTGTACACTTTGATATGTTGGAGGAAGTCTCCATTGATGCATTTATAAATGCTATGCTTCATAACTATTAGAGGCACAATTTTGTTCTAACCAAGGTACAAATTTTGTTTGAGCGGAAAACAAATTCAAAAAGTAAATGGTCTGCATTTGTATAGCACCTTCTAGGGTTCCACAATCCCCCAAGTGTCACAAGCGTGCTGGTGAGTAAATGCAGAGGTGAGGATCCATATGTGGGTGCGAAGGAAGGAAGGCAGGAAGGCAGGCAGGCAGGAAGGAAGGAAGGAAGGAAGGAAGGCAGGATTTACAAAAGGTTTTAATAATAACATGCTGGACTACTGAAACACTGAGCCAACAAGAGACACAGAACTGAAGGGGTTTAAATACATGAGGGCTGGGAGCTTTGGTGATTGGAAAATGAGAGGCAGGTGGGAGCAATTAACAAAGACACATGACTGAACAGAATGGGGAGACAGGACAGGGTGTGACACTAAGGTGCTTC